TTTGAATCTATTTGTCTAAATGCCCAATTTGTATTTTGAAAGACAAATAATTCTCTTTTTGACTTATTTTATCAGCAGATTTGCAGCTTGTGCAGTTTTACGATCATCTTGGGAAAAAAATCATGGGTACACACTATAGCTTCTTCCTTTTTTCAAATCGTCTTCCTTTTCCTCCTCTGGCTCCCCGCCCCCTTTGCATACTTGATGTCATGCTCCACAGTGTTTACATTAACTGGGGTTAGTACATCTATGCCCACGGCACATCTTTATTCTTATTTCCCCTTGCCTCCTCCACACCCCTGCCCTTGTTCCCTGGGGCCACTTCCCTACTGCAGGAGAGCTGTCCCTTTGTCCCTTTCTATCCAGCCTGTATCGTTTTCTCTGTTTGTACTTTTCCCCACTCAGATGAGAGATACCATATGGTATTTAAATTTGTGTGCCTGGTTTATTTTTCTCAACATTATATCTTCCACATGCACCCATTTTCCTACAAATGTCTCCAATTTAAAACAAATTACTCTGACTAAAGCATCCCGGCCAATACATCTGTTAAGGCCTACCAATCTCAGATTGGCCATTATCCATGCAGGAGCCACATTGTGCGTGTGTGACAGAATAGGGGTATAGAAAGATGGGACAGAAATTTAAACACAATTCAAGGCTGAGTCAGGTTCTCCAGCACAATCATAAATCTCACAGTGAAATTTATTTATTTATTTATTGCCAGCTCAGCCCACCCCGAGGGCAGGACTGTGCAGCATGTGGTGCTGGGCCTTGAACCGTGGTCCCCTGCAGCTGCCTAAGCCTGCCTAAGCAGGTGCTTGCTTGCTTGCTTTCTTTCTTTCTTTCTTTCTTTCTTTCTTTCTTTCGTGGAAATGGGTATTGAACTCAGTCCCTTGCACTTGCCAGGGAAGTGCTTATTCCACTGAGCCATCTCCCTGGCCCCAAGCAGGTGCTTTAGAATGCTGAGCTATCTCGCCAGCCCCCTTACAGTGAAATTTAGCTCAAAAAGCAGGTGTTAACACTGTCCCTTGACACTGACGTTGTAAGGAAGCCTCATCGCGAGTCTACACTGCAAGCAGAATAACATTGGGTGCTATAAAATGCTTTTGGAGAAAGTCTAGGAAAGCTCCCAGAAAAGCTCAAGGAATTGTTTACAATAGCAGGATTTCACCCTTTACCTGCAGCTTCATTTCTCCAAACTGTAATTTGCTTTCTATACATGTACACATCGCACACAAAAGATGCCCTCCACGGAAATCCGTTCACATGCACAGAAAAAGTCAAATTTCACCAGAAACTTCACATGTTTCGACATGGTTCTAATGCTTCACTAAAATATTCTCAACTTCATCATCAGAACAAGTCAATATTAGGACTTACTTTATAGGTTAAAATTTTGTGGCAACAGAACTAAAGGAACTTGCCTGAGTCTTATAACTACGACACTAGAATTGGTTTTCCTTTAAATACGTCTTGAGCCAGCCAGATAGCTCAGTGGACTAAAGCAGCTGCTTAGGCAGAGCACAGAGGCTGGGGTTCAATCCCCAGCATGCCATTCCAGCCGCCCCTCCTCCACCACGCGCACACTGAGCCGGCCACTGAGAAAGAAGACCTCTCCTAAGACGGGGCTCTGTACAGTGCCTGTGGCTCTGTTCACACACTGAGCATTCCAAGTAGAGATTCAGAGTCCATTCTACGTTTTGTTTTTCCGGAACCAGGGATTGAACTCAGGCCCTTGCACTTGCCAGGCAAGTGCTTATTCCACTGAGCTATCTCTGCAGCCCCATCCATTCTATGTTTAGTAACCCTAAACATTAGCAAAATATAATACAAAAAAGTAAGTGTTTAAGGAAAAGGAAATGCTAATTTCCATGATCCTGATTTGATTCATGCACATCCTACACATGTACAGGAGCATCACACCACACCAGCATCACACCACACCCAATAAATATA